GGGGGGGGGGGGGTGGGGGGAATCCTATAACCCAAAGGATTTTAAGGTCATTATTTTTTTTAAATATGAAATATGAAGGAAATATTTACTCTATCCACACTAAAGGAAGACTGTGGGTCAAATAATATATATGTGAAAGTGCTTTGTAACCTGATAATAAAGAAATAGAATGACTTTTGTATTTTGTTTATTTCGGGTGTGATGGGTGACCATCCTGGCTCCACTTAGATATAAGAGCAATTTTACGTTTTGCTTTAGATATAAGAGCCATTTTATGTATTGGCAGCATAACTAGTTTGAAATGGCTTTTGCAAACTATGTTTTTTTAATGAAATAGACAACCCTGAGCATTTTTCTGATTGTTAAACCTGTCCCCTTCTGCTTGAGGAATTGTTTTAGAAATTTTATGCTTGACAGTCTCAATCGTGAACTCTGGCTTCTGTAACCTAGCTTGCTTGTTGCACCAGTGTGCTAATGAAAGATAACAGCAGCTTTGTGTCACCCTAAGGGCCAGATGTAAATTTGGCTCCAGAACTGACCAATGAGCTATGTCACATAGCCAACCAATCCGAATTAACAAACTTGCATCCCTCGTTTGCATAAGAGGACCTGAGTGAGAACTTGGTTGGTTTTGGGCAGGAAGTTTTGGCTATATATGGCTTGCTTGCTTGCAAGCAATTAAGAGCTGTCAACTATTAAAAGAGCTACAAAACCAACGTTGGTCTTGGATTCCTCTGTGCAAGTGCCCCACTACACAGGTATAATCAATTCTCAATTAGGACTGTTTCAGAAACAGGGTAACACATCTATGCCCTTCATCTAAGTCAAATTTAATGCCATAAGCAGATGAGTTACCTAGGATAAATACCAAGAGAAGATGATTCAGAGAACTGTGAGAAGCCTGTGGAAATATAGCTCTGTTTCTGGGAATGAACACTGTGCAATCCAGTATCAAATAGTTATATCTCAATGCAGTTTACGATATGTATATGGAATAGTTGGTACAAAATAAATACAGTGATGGGAATTTATAAATAAATCTAAGCCTTATAATTCTTAACCTTGAGCGTTTTTAGGTGACCAAAGAGAACACATAAGAAGCTTATTTATGGATGTCACGGGAAGCAAGACAAAAGGAAAACCAGAACTTGGGCAATACACACATAGCACGCACCTGTGCTTACTCTATGCTGTAAAAAAGAGGTGTTCCAGATTAACCATGAAAGGTAATTCCACACATCTAAAAATTTCTTATACAGATCTCTTTTCTTTTCTATAAAGCTTTTCTGTTGTTGTTAATGACCATGTGTTTAATCATTTAATTCACTTAATGGTTAACTACAACAGTATTTCACTTATAGACTAGATATATTTCTCAAGTCATTTTTGGCCAAACCCTTTCCTATTTTCTAGCTATCCTAGTTTCTATTAGCATAATCACTCTCATTTCATATTTTCAAGCTCATTCTAATCACAGCACAAAGAAGGCAAAAGAGATAAATGAAAAATGGGGAAAACTGCCTTGAACCCCAGCTTGGGAAAAAGCAGGTTCACAACCCACCACATGTATGTGTCTCAACCAAGTTCCAAGGAATGATTCATGTATTTCTGGAAAGAACTCAAGTAAACGTTCTTGAGACCACATGCTATATTTATTTAACCATTTTTTCCAACTCAATAAGGACAAGTTTCTGTGTGGTTAATCACCTGAGTTAATAGTTCAGGGAGTTATTTTTTCTTGACTATTTCACTACTCTCAACAACAATTACATGGAGCTACTGATTACTGGGTGTCTAATCTGCATCAGGGCTTTGCATACATGTCTTCATTTGACTTCCATGACAGCCCTGGAAGGGAAGTACAATAATCTCCATTGCACAGATGAGGAAGGGCTTAGGGAAGCCGAGGAAAAAGTCCAAAGTACACCTCCTATAAGGAGCACACCTGGAACATGAATCCAGGTCTGCCTGATTCTAAAGCCCTCTCCCTGTATTTTTAATTTTTAACTTTCAATCCTCAAATATCAACCTGAACTCTGAAATTCTTAATTTCTAGGTTTTCTTGAGAGTCCTCAGAGAGCCACTACATATACGAACACAATCTAAAAACAAATGGTTATGACTAGATACTATTACAGATATCCAAATGTATGTGTAACACCACAACTTCATAACTAATAACAAAGCATAATTCTTCCAACCATTATATAAAGTACAAACTTTGGGGCAGGAAATGTCTTACACTGATATTTTCTAATTGTAGTAGATGAACTGTATAATATGACTTCACATCTTCTGACATGAGCTTCACACTGAATCCTGTTTCTTTAAACAGCATCTCTTGGTCATCTGTTGGCCAGTACTGTGCACATTTAACCTAAATTTAAAAATATGTATATGATTTTTTTATTTTATAGACATTATGACACCAATAAAAAGTTAAAGAAGGAAAACAAACCACACATATATGCTATAGTTTTTTCAAGTACCCAAACCTAAGAACAGTCACCACTATACTTGTTGTTTAATGTATTTTAATAAGATTGACATTTTATAAATTGACATTAGTAAAATGTTCCTATAACTTACAAACTAAAAAAGGTATGAGCAAATATATTCATAAAAAATAAATTTGTCCTTTTTAAAGCATGATAACCTATACTTTAACATCATATAGCATTCACTTTGTTTCTAAAAGTATCAAACTCTTGCAAAAATCTTTTCTCCAGAGTACTGAAAAGGCTTTATTTTACAGATATTTTCTACAAATACCCATGAATCTGCCACTAAATACTCCATCTCTAGAAATAATGCTGCATATTTACTTACTAAAAATAAATCGGAAGAGAGAATCAGAAGACAGGATCCCTTTACCTAGAGTTGTAACATTTGGCAGAACTAACACAGAATTCAAATTTGTGACAATAAAAGCATCTTCTCAAAAGCCAAATTATGAAGCCAACAGACTGAGGCAAGGTGAAATAAAGAGTTATTTCACTAGGATAAAATACCAGAACATCTTTTTTTATTTTTTATTTATTTTATTTTTTTCCTTTTTGTCTTTTTTCGTGACCGGTAACGGGATCGCAACCCTCGGCGTTGCGCCCGCACCGCGCTCAACCAGTGAGTGGACCGGTCTCTATATGGGATCCGAACCCTTGGTGGGAGTGCCGCACTCTACAGAGTGCGCCACCGGGCCGGCCCAGAACATCTTTTTTTATTTTTTATTTATTTTATTTTTTTCCTTTTTGTCTTTTTTCGTGACCGGTAACGGGATCGCAACCCTCAGTGTTGCGCCCGTACCGCGACCAGCAACGGGATCGCAACCCTCGGTGTTGCGCCCGCACCGCGCTCAACCAGTGAGTGGACCGGTCTCTATATGGGATCCGAACCCTTGGTGGGAGTGCCGCACTCTACAGAGTGCGCCACCGGGCCGGCCCAGAACATCTTTTTTTTTAAACGGCCATCTTCCCTTTTCCAAATCACAAATATGTATAAGTAAACAAGTAAAATGCCTCCAAAAGAAATGAATACCATGAGCTACTACCTCAGAAGGTGCTAAAAGACATTTTATAAATGATGTAAGATGTAAGAGTATAAAGTAAAAATCAGAACTCAGAAACAAGGTGACAGGAAACAGAAAAGAATGATAAATAATGGAACACATTTCAGAAATGAAGATTAAACAAGAAGGAAAAGAAAAGTGAAGGGCCGGCCCGGTGGCGCACTGGATAAGTGCGCCGCTTGGGAAGCGCAGCGGCGCTCCCGCCCGAGGGTTCGGATCCCACATACAGACCGGTTCCCGCTCACTGGCTGAGCGAGGCGCGGGAGCAGCACCGAGGGTTGCGATCCCGTTGCCGGTCCCGGTCCGGTACGGGGGCAACACTGAGGGTTGTGATCCGTTGCCGGACACGGAAAAAGACAAAAGACAAAAAAAAAAAAAAAAAAAAAAAGGGAATAAACACAACACATAATGCCCTAAGAAAAGGAGTAAAATTTTAAAGTAAAAAAAGAAATAGAGAGAGAGAAATAAGATTAGAGGGAATGTGACAAATAGAAAAGATAGGCAAAGAAAATCCAACATATGTATAATAGGAGAACCCAAAGAACACTGAAGCAAGCAAGGGAACAGAAGAAATACTAACAAGTGTAATTCAATAAATATTTCTTCAAAAAAGAAAAAGCATTTGAAACTACATATTGAAAGAGCACACCATGAGCCTGGGAAAACTGGCCCAGTATAACCAATACTAAGACATATTTTGGTAATTAATGGTATCTAAAGTAAAAGAAAAAAAAATCCTTTGGATAATATAGATAAAAAGAACAAGAGACTTATAAAGGAAATAAAATAAGATATACATTTAACTTTGACAGTAATTTACAATGCCAGAAGGAAATGGAGAAATACGTTTAAGTTGCTCAAAGAAAAGCAAATGTGAGCCAAGAATTCCATATCCTGCCCAACTGACTTTCAAGTATTAAGACAGCAGATAAACCATCACTGATGTGTAAGAAGTGAGAGACTATAATGTCCAAGAGTCCTTCCTTAGGTTCCACTAGAGAATAAATTTAGTCAGAACAACTGGAGAATCATGAGCAAAGACTGGTTATAAATTATAAATACACATTTACATGTAGAACTAAGATTTAAAAAGGGATGTAAGAAAGAGACTATAATATGTTATATCCTCTGAATATGGGTAAAGTATAACTAAAACAACAACAACAAAAAAAAACCCAGGAAGAGAATAGGAAAAACAGATTAAAAAATATAAACTATTTTCAGTAATTATTTTGGTGGTAAAGTTGATATCATTATTATGACTGTTTTGTGTATGATATGGGATAAAGTAAATGAGTCATTATAAGATATTCTACATCCCTGATGTCTTTGAGAATGAGGATTCTTAGTATGGAAAAACACAGAAAGATATTAGATAAAAGGGGTTAAACCAACCTCTGTAGTCCCAAATTTGAACTGAAAATATCACTCTGAACTCTTCAGAAACATTCTCTGAACACTCATACTCTGTCACTGAAAAGCCCTAAAAACAATGACCAACCCAGTAGCAATAAATACTAATAAATATTAATAGTAGCAATAAATATTAATAAATAAATAAATATCCCTAATATCTTGCTGTGATCTTGAAATACTATCACCCATTAAAAGAAACAAAGGCTCCTTAGAGAAATGGCTGGTTCCACGTTGGGGCAGCAAGAGTTTAAGATTAGCCTGCATTTATAGTCATACCAATAGCAAGAAAGTTATGAAAGACCCTTACACTTGTGTTAAAAGGACTCAGGGCCAAACCTAAAGAGATTCCTACAAGCCAATGTTAAGATAAAATCTGACCACCAATACGGACAACAACTTAAAAGAAGAAATTAATCAAATATGCTTAAATCCATCATAATTCATCCCCTCCTGCCACTCCCCACCAAAACAAAACAAAACAACAATAAAAACCCCTAATTGGTCATCTTTTGAGTACGCTGGGGAATCAGCTCTATTTTGAAAACTGCTTTTCCTCCAATATAAAAGTGGTCAACTAACTAGAATAGGAAGTTTCTTTTTAGAGAAGTATTTCAACAAAAATTGAATAAGGATGATAGAACTGAATTATCACCATTTGTAACCTTCAATGAATTAAGGAGCTAAGCATTTACTAATAATGGCTGCTAATATCTGAAAAAGAAAGATAATCGAACATTATGCTCTCTTAAATGAATAACATACCACCAACACCAAGGTTAAGGATTCGAATCCCCCTACTGGCCAGGCACCGGAAAACAAAACAAAACAAAACCCCCAAAATAATTAAACCTGAATCTTATTAAGCATCTAGACCCAACCATCATAAATATGACTCTGATTTGAAGATTCTAGTGGCAGTCTTATCCTATTAATACAGTAATTGTACTCCACAACGAGAGGGATGAAACGTACAAATCATCTGGTTTGAGATGCTGCTCAAACTGACAACGTCATCATCACTTAATTTTTAAAAGATATTGGAGACCATGGAAAGCCACTATAAATGACTAAGCTGACAGCTGGAAATTCCAGTATGTCAATGTTACGTCAGATTAGAAATACGTTAGAAAATTTTCACAGTCATTGAAAACCAGCAACTATGAACTTACAAAAAAGTAATAGTTTAGTCAGGCATCTGAAGAAGCAGAATACAAGATCATGAAGCTGGAAGAGACATAGTTGATAATACTTTCCAATTTGCTTGTCTGACAGAAAAATCTAAAGCTACAGAAGTTATACCACTAATTAGCACTGTGCTTAGAGTGTAACTTAAAATTTCAATAAATTTATACTTGCCCATATTTCTCATCTTATGACTTAAGAGTTAACTATAATTTATAAATATGGAAAAAAGACTATTGTTTAAAAATTTTTTGAAAATTTCCAATATTTTGATAATAATAAATGGCAAAGAGTCTTATAAAGCCTAGGGATTCCTAAGATCTACGTATTACTCACTAGTCAGTATTTGTTCTCTTACATTTATTGTCTTTGAGATTAATGGTCTGCAATTGTTCTATAAATATTTAAGGTAAAAAAGGAAAAGAATACATTAGCTTTTCTGGTCAGTAACACCCTGACCACTAGCCTTTGGCAATTAAGGACCAAAACTAACAAATGAATACCCTCCAAAATATGAAAACCTTTATAAGCTAATGACTATATTCTATACAATAAACTGTAAATATTAAATATTACTCACCGATTCTTTCTCCACAATTCGGTTTAGCATGACAACTGCTTTGGTCTTTTGCTGCCAAACCATGAGCCAGAAATGGCAGCATGTATTAGGAAGTGGGCCCTGTGAGAAGAGAGAAGAAAGAGTAGTTGAGGGAAGGGGATGGGAAAAAGCCAGGCTCCAGGCAAAGCCTCATCAAAGCTGCTCTGGGGAGCTGCAATATAATGGACTGGCTCTTAAGAAGTAAGCCAAGACTTTAAACCCACTTGAATTCAAAAATAGGTGTGTACTCATTAGGATTTTTGGTTATGAATGGTCAAAACTGACTTAGAAAAGGAATTGTTTTGGATTTAGGGTGGCTTTCAGAGTTGAAGGCTAGAGAACCAGGCCTGGCTAGGAACCAAGAGTTCAAGCACAGGCAAGATTCTGGCCCAACAAGTCAGTTTGGGACATTGCTCCTGATATGGTCAGTAGAATCAGGCTGCTTTTGCTGGTACTGCCATACAAAGCTGGCTGTAGCATTCACGCATGACCTATAAACAAACCAGAGTCAAAATCATGAGTGGGAGTATCTGACTGGTCAAGCTCTAGATGCAAAAGAGGTAGGCAAAGGAAATTTCTGTCCCCTTCACCTTCTATAGCAGAAAGAAAGGCCCCGCGTCCTGTGGATCATGGAAGATCCACGGAAAAAGAGTAAGTCTGTGCCATCACTGGCCAGCCAACCAACCCAAGTCAACTACGAAGATTTCCAGAAAAAATGGAAATCACAAAAGTACCTGAACCACTATGAAAGTCTTAATCTACGAAAGTACAATATGTGCGGCCTCAATGGCAGAGTATCTGGCAGAGTTAACAGGGGTAATAGTCCACATTACAATAATGCCATGGAGGTAAAAATGAAATCATATTACGTACTTCCAAGGACCTTCACATTTTGCTTAATGATAGCATAGGGCAAAAGAAAAGAAAAATAACAGATGGAGAAGCCACCCCCAAATGATAACTAAACTTAAATGAGTGATGGTTAAAATGAATGAAGTTTTACTGTATCTAAAGAAACACTGAACATGCATTCAACTCATAGAGCAGTGTGGGAGAATGTTGAGTTAGGGGCCGAGCCAGGAAGCTAAGGGCCAAGTCTGCCCAGAGCTTCAGCCCCAGTGTAACAAGGGGATTCAAGTGGTTCTAGACTGAAAGCATCTCCAAAGCACATGTACTCCTTGGTATGTAGCAGATGCTGAATAATATTACTGAAATGAATAAACTCTAAGGTTAACTTGTAAAAATGCTAGAAATCTATTAAGAATCCTGAGAAACTAACTGCAACCTAATGTCTGAGGATGCTGTTCTCCTCACTTAACACATGTATCTACTGCTTGATCTACTTTCAAAACAAAACATAGTCTAAAGGTAAGAAGAACAGAGTGCCGCTTTCTTTAATCCAGAAAAAAACAGGATGTAGCAATTTGCCAATGAAGTTGCTCTTTAGTGTATGTATACATACCACCCCCAATTCCATTAGTGGTTCTAAAGACTAAATAGTAAGTAGAAAAACAATTGCCGTAGTACAAAGAACTTAGGTTTTTAAAACAGGGGGAAAGGTATTCATCTCTTGGGTCTTCCCCTTACTCGTAACGCTACCAATTTTCTGCATCTGCAAAATGGACATAATATACCAAGGGGCTGATTTAAAGAAGAAAAAAAAAACTAATTCGTAAAACTCAGAGGAAAAAGATGATTTAAATAATAAGCAGCAAAGAACAATCAGAATAGCTAAGGTAATGAACATTTAGTATCTCTAGTTTTTTCTACTCTCTGAAATATTTTCTGTGTGCGTACTCTGTCCCAAATAATGCGCTAGGCACAAGGGTAAAGGCACGATGGAGATGGAGATTCAGCCCTGAGAGAGCTTGCGAAGGAGGTGAGAAGTACCCACATGAACAACTGAACACACCAAACGACATAACAGCAAAGGTAAGCCACCAGGTCTCGGGGAGCAGGAAGGACTAGGAAAGAAACTATAGCAGAACCTTAAAAGAGAGGACTGTCCTGGTAACAGAGAGGGAATAGGATGGGAAGGACTTAGGATCCATTCCAGGCATTCCAAGCATAAGGCAAGCACATCAAAGTCTAGGGCATATTTGGGAAAAGACAAATTGATCAGTGAGGTGGAAGTGGGGTATACAATAGGAAACCACACCTGTAGACTGGTAGAAACTGGTGGCAAGGAGATACTTTAAAAAGCTGCTGCATAGTACTGGTGAAATTTAAGAGAGCTCTGGAAAAGGGCAGGGGCAGCAGAAGATCAGAAAGGATTTGGTAGATAACAAGGACAGCTTTAACCTGCAAGAAAAAAATAGAAAGGGAGCTGGCTTGGCCAAAAAAAAAAAAAAGAGGGGCTGGCTGGTTAGCTTGCATGGTGAGAACATGGTCCTGATAACTGAAAACACCAAGGTCCAGGGTTCTATCCCTGTACAGGCCAGGTGCCAAAAAAAAAAAAAAAGATATAAAATGTGATGAATTTGAGATCTAGGAAAATATAACAGGGGGAATTCAGGAGAGAAGAAAAAGCTGGAGAACAGGCTTCTGAGTTCTCACACTCTAAACTTAGAGTGGGACTCTGTCATGACACACAAAAATGGTCCGACAGGGACGAGAAGTGAAGAACAATCACTAGGGCATTTAACCAGGCATTTTCCTTTTTTTTTTTTTTCCTTTTTGTCTTTTTTTGTGTCCGGCAACGGATCGCAACCCTCAGTGTCGCGCCCGTACCGGACCGGGACCGGCAACGGGATCGCAACCCTCGGTGCTGCGCCCGCACCTCGCTCAGCCAGTGAGCGGGAACTGGTCTGTATGTGGGATCCGAACCCTCGGCGGGAGCGCTGACGTGCTCCCAAGCGGTGCACTGTAGCAGTGCGCCACCGGGCCGGCCCCCATTTTCATTATTTTAATGGAATTTAAGGTGCTTTATAAAAGGATTACTATTACCATTATTACTACAAGTAATAAAAAGCAATAACAAATGACACAACAAATAACACATGAAGTGCTTACCACAGAGCCAGGCACTACAGGAGTTTCTCACAATATAACTTGATAAGAAAGAAAGAAAGAAAAGAAGGAAAGGGAAGGAAAGGGAAGGGGAAGGAGGATAGGGGGGAAGAGGGACAGGAGAGAAGGAAAAAATATATACATATATAGGTTTGGGGAGTTAAGTAAATTGCCTCGGATCACAGAGCAATTATAAGGTAGTAAAAAAGAATGATTAAGAGCAGGAACCACAGGCCTATGTGGCTTCAAATTTTGACTTCATCTTACTTGCTGCATGACCTTAGTAAAGTTATTTAACGTCTCTGGGTTTCATTGGATTCCTCGTATATAAAACAAGGGTAATGGTATTTACCATGGAGGGTTGTCCTGAGGTTGAAATTATACAGTGCATGTAAAATAGAGAACAATATTACAAAATTGTTATCAGTTATTAATTTTACTTCCTATCAGAATGTACAGATCATAATGGCAGGGTTAAAGTTTGTTTTATGGGCCGGCCCGTTGGCGCACTGCTACAGTGCGCCGCCTGGGAAGCGCGACAGCGCTCCCGCCGAGGGTTCGGATCCCACATACAGACCGGCCGCTCGCTGGCTGAGCGAGGCGCGGGAGCAGCACTGAGGGTTGTGATCCCGTTGCCGGTCCCGGTCCAGTACGGGCGCGACACTGAGGGTTGCGATCCATTGCCGGTCACGAAAAAAGACAAAAAGGAAAAAAAATAAAAAAAATAAAAAATAAAGTTTGTTTTATTCCAACAATGCCCCACAAAATAGGTCTCAGTAAAGCTTTGCTGGATGAACAAACAGGCAGTGAAGTGCTGGCACCAGTCTTGAGCACAGACACTGTGACAGCAGCGTCAACTCTCTCTGAGGTTAAAAAGGTTGAAAACCATGGTCCAGACAGCTGAAGTGTAGACTGAAGAGTGGGGGACAAGCTAAATTAGCATCTTAAGACAGACCTATGTTTTTAAGGACTAAGAAGAGAAAGAAGAACCAGTAATGATACTGAGGAAAAATGGTAGAGAGTAACAAAGGGTGTGGTAAGGGAGCTGGGGTGGCCGTTCTTTTCTATTTTTTAACATTATAATTGTTTCAAATAGAAAGTAAAATTTTAAACTCTAAATATTAGTTTTATTTAAAAACGTCACGAATTCGCAAAAGAAAAACTTCAAATATTATAGAAAGTCAGAAAATGGCAAATTAAAGTCTCTATTCCCAATCCCCAGAAATAAACACTACTATTGGTATATACATATGATTATTTAATCAGTCCCTTACAGATTTCAGTCCTATGCTGTTAAAATAAGGTTGCAATAAACACGCTCACATCTATATCTTTATTGTCTGTCTGTATTTCTCTAGGTAAGATTTTCTCGATCATGGTATTTGACCACTGAGTATTACACACTTTTAAATCTCTGCTGTTCTGACAGGTTGAAAAGTAGTAGCTGACTGTTAATTTAGATTTACTTCCCCTAATTACTAAATGAATGGAGTAGATTCCATATGTATATTGTCTACCTTTGTTTTGTTCTTTGAACTGTGAATTTATCTCCTTTGCCAGCTTCCCCATAGACTGTTACTCTTTTTCTTTTTCATTTACAGGAGCTGTTTTGTCCCAAGTAAAATGAAGCAATTGATTTTAGTTTCCTGTGAATTTGAAAGTCTAATAGCTCATAGTTACACTGATTTGAATATCTTTTACTATATTGAACTTTTTTCTCTTTAAATAATAGGTCATTCTGATCCCAGTTAGGTTTTTAAAAATCTCAAATACTATGGTTTATCTTTAGAATATTTAAAAATCTTTAACTGGAGGAAATGACAATGTAGTTAATTAAGTCTCCATTATTTGATAAACAGAGAGCAGCTGGTATGGATAAACAAAAATCACTTCTATTATCTCAGAATGGAAGAAAAGCAGTGCTTGCACATGGGCGTGGCCAATATGCCAAGAAGCAATCAGGCAGAATGCCAAAAGGAGCCAGGCAAGCGCTTGGCTTTCCTGGCCTGTCCTCTGGGGCGCCTGGTCTTAGCACCCTCACTGGGCCCTGAAGATGGCCAGACACATCCAAGGAATGGCCACACTCTCTGAAAATATATACCAGACATGGGGGTAGAGAGCAGCTTTCCAGGGCCTCTGGTTACACTACAGGTATGTGAAGAGGAAACAGAAGAAGCTAACAAAGCCTTAGCAAACGCTTTGTGTCAGATATAAAAGACATAAAGGAAGGAAGATAATTTGCCTGAAAAGAACTGGCCTAAAGCATTTCATAAAAATTTTCCTTCACAGAACATATAACATTAAAAATAACTTTACTTTTACCTTAAATATTCAAAGCTTCAAAACTTTATAATGTGTATAATTCATTACATAACCAGAAAAAACTGAAATAGCATTTCATTTCCATAAAGTGAAAATATACTTTTAGCTATGTTTTAAAGTAGAACCACCACAAAAATTTCATTTTCAGGCAACTTCTTGATATCACACTACTTGCCTGTGTTAAGATGTAACTCCTCTGTGCCTCTTCTATGTCAACTAAGCTGGCATTAATATAATCATTTTCGGTATTTTGTAGTTTAACACGACTGTGATCATCTGAAAATAGAGAATGATAAACCATAACTGTCATTTCAAATTTGTCATTTTTTTCCTTAACATTAATGTGCTAGGTATTTATAAAAGGATAGAAGAAACAAAACAAAGAAAAAATGACACCATAGGAGAGTTGAGACAAATCCTATTTTTTTATTCCCTATTTTTTTTAGTAAGTACAAAATGTAAAATCTTGTTGGTTACTGTGACACTGGAAGAGAAGTGCTTCTGTCTATAGTACATTAATTGCTTTAACTTGACAAATCAACCAAAAAGTGAGACACAGTAAAACGAACAATGCACTTACCTTCCTGAAAGTAAAAGGATCATTTAGATTCTCAGTGCCTAAGAACTGACTAGCGTACCTACAAAAAGATAAATGGCCTCAAATGGATGAGGCTAGATTTCCAGGGAAACTGTATTTTCTTCATTTCTCAATAGATATGCTTTCAACTAGTGCTAAAAACTGCTTCAATATAGTTGGAATATTCTGACTGTATCCTTTAAAAGACGACTAAAGATGCTTCATTACTTAGACTGTGTTAACAGCTAGTTTTTTTTTTTAAATTGTCCTTTTTGAGACCAGCCGCACCGTGCTCAGAGCACTGTGAGCGCACTGGTCATCCCTATATAGGATCCGAACCCGCGGCAGGAGCGCTGCTGCGTTCCCAGCGCCGCACTCTCCTGAGTGCACCACGGGTTCGGCCCAACAGCTAGTTTTTAAAAGTAGAAATCTCATAGATTTAGAATTTATGCTAATTTAAATATGTGAAATACAAAATTTGACCTTATATAGTTTAGACGGGAAAGGAACAGAAGCATGACTCAAGGAGGAAAAGCACATGCAAACAACAGAATTAATATTAACTCAGAACCCTAAACATACAACTGTTGGAAGCATACGACTGAATTATAAATTGAAAACATGACATCTGATATTTAGCTCTAGAGAATACATTCTATTATATGCTGTTCCGTTCAAGGAAACCTATACTAAATATCCACTCTCTATCCACTTTTAAACTAAAAAAATGTTTATATTATCTCCATAGGAAAGAAAATGTTATATGGCTTTAGTTTCGCACATCAATTTATCTGAGATGTTTCTGCTGGATTGAACCCAAGACCTCTGTAAATATTACATGTCATTTGCCAACAGGAAAAGCTAAGATCTTGTTATAGTAAATCACATATACCAGTGTTCTCGGAAAGATGACGTCAGCAAGCACTTTTTAACAGTCACTTTTTTTTTTTTTAACAGTTTAATCATCCTTTAACTGTTATGTGAGATGGTAAAAAGGTCAGCTACCTAACTAACAAAATAAAGACCATATGTTTACTTCCTAGAAAACATACCAATAGAAAAATGCATGAACGCCATACAATCTCTAAAATTCAAGTCCCACTAAAATATCACACCAAAGGAATGTATTTCCTCATGTTGTAATCACAGAAAGAACACAAACCCAAGGCTGCTCATATCTATTGCACAACTGAAAGCAGCCATTTGAGCAACATGCACTAAAACCCATAAAGACCGGAAGGTGCATCTCACAGGGCCCTGGGAATTCGTCATCCTACATGGTGCCCATGCCAGATCCTTGCACAGCTATGAAGGAAATAAGCCTGGAAAAAGACCTTCCAACAGTCTGGTTTTAAGAGTACAGTATTTGTTACTCGTTCTCAAGACTTTGAACTAAAAGAACGCACTGTTATTTTCCCTCAATCTTTAAAATCTACACCAGGTGTGACTCCAATATAAACACAGTAATCATACACCAGGATAAAAGCGCAGGCCCACTCCTGGAGCCTTGGGGAACAGGGTGCTATCTAAAAGTGTCCTGCAGGTCCCAGCTCCAGGCAGGACTTTGTTTCCTGTCTAACATTAATTTATACAGGGTAAGCAAAAGCAGAGGAACACTGTGAATTTTCTGAGGAAAATTATTTTTTAATTTTGCTAGCAGATAAAACTAAAAAGGCAAGGCAATCCTTGGAAAACTCTACAGCTACTTAGAACTGGCTACAAATGTTTAGTCGAACTTGTATTTTCTTCTCTAAACTGATTTAAAACAAAGCTCTCAAATATATACCTACCTCACGAGTTGTTTAATTCTCCTGTTTTATCAAAAATCTTAACAAAAATTAACATACATAACTTTTTGATTCAGAAGAGACTGTAGAGAAAAAAAAACAAGAGTTTCTGTGTTAACTAAAACACATCACCTTACAATAGCTATCTAAAAAGATAATATACACAGTTTGGTTAGTGAAACTATCTTATAACTTATATTCTTTATCAAACACAGCAGAGGAGGACACAGCCTCTTCTCCAATCAAGAGTTCCTTAACGTGTGGTTATAGTGGCTGTGAGAACGACTGTCTCATGCCTCACTCTGGCACCTTCAGCCAGCCCAAACTCTGTCAACTGTCTATTCTGAACCAAACTTTTGACTTCTGAATTAGAAAAAAAACAGAAAGTTACTTGCTTTCTCCTCTTTCACAGTTTATTCTCCCCAGGAACCTCTGACATGAGATTATGATTATCAAAATGTCACTGTCCCATAACCTTTGGGCTAGGTAAGTCCCAAAGCCCACAGTCCTTTGTCGTCATTTTAAGTCTATGGTCGTCTCCTTCTTTCCTACCTTTTAAAGGATCCAGTACAGGGAGAAGAATAAAGGTAGTTCAAACTGTATTGAATGATATACCACAAAAGCAATCAAACCACACTTTCATAGGAAATCTTACTTCTCAACATCTAATGATAACAGTAGCAGCACTATAAAGAACGTATTCTTTTTTCTAAATGGCATCATCTGCTCTTAATCCTTTTCACTGAGTGAATGAAGAAATGCAATACTGAAATAGAGCTGTGGTTTATAAGTTGGATAAAAATTAAACCAACTTTTGATGACGAGTCACTTCACCTCCCACCCTCAAACAGTATGTTTTCTGAGAAATGACTTCATCTCTCAAGAAATGACTAGCTCTAGCTGTGGCCGGAGCTGACAATACAATTAACTTCCTCTTTCAGTAGTGTCATAATAAACTTTTTTTTTTTTTAACCCCTACTTTACCTAATTCATCATTATTGTAAGGACATCTCATTTTAGAAAGTTTTCCAGGGCAAACAGGAAAGAGGGTTCCCATTCATCATAACTATGCTCAACAGGTTACAACTAAGGCAGAGATCAAGAATACTTAACTTATAAATTGGGCAAGGAGAAGACTAATTCTAATAGTACAGCATTAACAGTTGACTTTTCCCCTTAAATTCTCCTTTTCTCAATCAAGGATAAATAGTAAGTTTTCCAATAGTAACGGCCATACTTATATGGTATTTCCCTGCAAAGAACTTACAGCATTTTACAGACATCAAACCCTCTTCAACCTTAAAAGTAAAATAGCTGAGGAAGAAATACTATGAATTTTCTTTCATGAACTGAGCAATGAGCCAAAAGCAAAGCTAGAACTAAAACTGTGGTCACCATAAACTCTATTACATTAATTTAGAAGCATCACAAACTTTAGTATACATAGAGTATTAACATTTCAATTGCTTCCCCTGCAAAGAAACTGCTATTTGATGAATGGTTTCTCATTGGCCACATAACCAACTAGAACTACTGTAGAGGATAATTTAGTGCTGATGACGTATTAGGTATTATATGACACATCTTATTGGGTTACGTCTCTTGATCCTCACAACGCTATGAAGTGGACATTATCAGGCTCATTTTACTGAAGTTAAGTCATCAGTCTATGCTAACACACTCAAGAAGCACAAAGGGTGATTCAAACCTAGGTCTGTGCAATTTAAGAGACCACATACTTTCCACACTACATTGTCTCTATCTGATGCATCCAAGTTGGTGTCTTTATTATCCTTTCCACATACCGTAAATTCTTCCTGGCATCACCTTTCAGACTGTTCTTCACCTCGGCTCTGATTTCTATCTCATCTCTCACAGAAACCCCACTTCCTTGAGGATGCAGCCTATGGTGTATCTTCTCCACACAGTCGCTCTGATGGAACCCCCTCCACCATGGTCTGTTCTGTTCTTTACACTGAATACCTTCAGAACCCATCCACAATTTTTAGTCATATTTTAACATATTTTAAGAGTCAGGCAACAGGGACATAAAGATATTATTTGTTTAAAGCTTTTTAAAAGGAAAAAAAAACCCAAAACTCTATTATGTAGTAACTCTGAGTATAATACTTTATTACACTATTGTTGGAAGAAGCTTGACCAAATTATGCCCATGTAGGCCTAGTGAGATGAACAGGCTTTGCTACATAGGTGAGGAAGGAAAGGGGAAATTTCAGCAGAAGGAGTGCACATAAAGAGGAATAAAGGAAACGGCATATCATGAAGGAGTGGCAAATTTGGAAAGAATGAAGAGCTAGGTAAATGACAGACAGGTCCCGCAATATCTTGAGGGTAGACTCTGAAGGGCCTTGTAAGCTGTCTTACAGGCACGAGCAACCAACGGACCCCAATGAAGTTCTTTAAAGGATCGGTACACACATTTGATTTTCAGGAAAATAATTCCTAGTGTCACAGAGGGTGGACTGGAACAAAGAGGAAGACAATTCCATTCATTGATATACTGAGAGGTTAATCGAGAGGTGACGAGGCCTTAACCAAGTAGTGGCAGTAAAATGGAAAGAGTTACTCATCGAGTATTTCCAAGGTGCCTTGCTAATAAAGTTTATGTTGTTTTGGAAACATCCAGTAGGTTCAATTACTTCCACACACTAGGTTGACTGTCTTGAAGTCTTCAATCTCTTTCAATCCATCATGATTTCAAGTTCCTAAACTTGACAGGACAATCAATGTTACTTATTAAATTCTGACTCCACGTATCTCCAATTGAAAAAGGCCTCTTTAGCCTGTCCCCAAGAGTCTCTGCAATCAAAAAGAATACTTGGGAAGTGTCTTTACGAAATGAGTAAAGTTCATTAATGTAGTTTGGAAAATGGGCATCTTTCCTCTTTGATAGCCTGTATAAAATAAGACAAAAACTTCACTTTAAAATAACCAGTAAGCATCTCATCATTTTCCTTGAAACTCAGAATCTCTGCTTCTAGGAGTGGTAGAGCTTTTAAAGATTGAGAGTAGAGGGTAGTGGGGAAAAGAATGTTACTTTCCTTACATCCAAAAGCCTGTGAGACACCATACAAACACCTTCTATGTTCTAGGCACTGTTCTAGGCACTTAGGACCCATCCACACTCTCATGTACCTAACTTTCTCAGAAAGGGAGAGGGCGATAAGCAAAACAACTGTGTGTTGCGCAGTAATACATGCTGTGAGAAAGACCAGAGAGGGAACTAGCAACACGGGGGAGAGGCGCAGGTTGCAATTCTCGACAGGTTGGCCAAGGTGGGCCTCGTTGAGACAGTGACATTTAAGCGGAGATTTGGAGGGTGTCAGTCATAGGGATATTTTGGTTAAGAGTGTTCCCAGCACAGAGAAAAGCGAATGCCTTAAGGTAGGGACATTCCTAGCATATCTGAGGGACACGTGGAATGTGGCTTTGAGCACTGAGGAGCAGTATGCAGTTTAGATTAGAAAGTCCAGAAATTCTGGACTGATTTGTTCATCGAGGAAAAGGTCTCTACTTCCATTTTCCCATAGTGCCTACCTGTGCAGTGTTATAACAATTTAAGTTGGCAGGTTTTCAAACATTGTTTATATAATAATCGAGATGATTTTCACATTTCTAAATTGTTAAATGGTGGTAGAATTTTTTTAGCATGACAAATCACTATTAACCCATTTTGAAACATAAGCAGGAAATTATTAACAATGTTAACTGATTTTCTCAAGAATAAACTAATTCAGCAAAAAAAAAAAAAAAAAAAAAAACCTCAGAAACTTCAGAACTTTTTAGTACAGGTATCTGGAATTTTGTGCTGTAGGTGAAAGAAAATGGGTGAGGAAAGATTAGAGGGGTCCAAAGATGTGGACTCTGATACCTGTTCAGGCTCTGCCAACCTACATGATTTTGGACACAACTGTGACTTACACAGAAAAGGGTAACCTTTTGAGAAACACTGCTGGTATCCGAGTTACTCAGACACTAGAACCCTATGATAACATCCTAGTCTTGAGTTTTCTGGGGTCTGTTTTCTTGTCTGTAAGATGGAACAGTTGTCTGGACCAGTCCTTCTTTATTATTTTCACAGACTGATACTCCATAATACACTAAGAGGGTCAAGTACAAAATTCCTTGGTAATTCCTACTTCACCTTAAAAATTTACAGGAATTCCAAAATTCTACTTCATCATCTATCTGTATTTAATACATAAACAACCATGCCCTTGCCCAATTCTGAGTATAGCTGATGGTCCTGGAAGACGTGCC